TTAATAGTGGGCAATATGTTAACAATAGCATGAATCGGCTAAAAGTAGGCACTACTTTAACTTTTTAAGGAAATGCAAAATATATCTAATCAAAATCTCTGAAAAGTTGATTAGATAACAACTTAAATAAATTTTGCAAAATTATTGCCTTATTATGGCAATATGTGGCCAATAGCACAAAGCGCCCAAAAGTAGGCACTACCTTTTTTTTAAGGAAATACGTAGAAATGTAACAAAAATCCATGAAAAGTTTTTTAAATAAAAAATAAAATACAGTTTACAAAATTATTTTCTAAATATTTGGCCAGAAGCACAAAGGACCTAAAAGTAGGCACTACTTTTATGTTTTTATGGGAAATGCAGAAGAAAATCAGTGAAAAAATTGCTAAATAAAAAACTAGAATAAATTTTCCAAAATTATTGCCTTATTATGACAATATGTGGCCAGAAGAACAAAGCGCCCAAAAGTAGGCACTACTTTTATATTTTCCCAATTAAATATATGGAAATATAATCAAATTCCATGCTAATTTTTTTGAATAAAAAATAAAATAAATGTTTCAAAATTATTTCCTTAATATTTGGCCAGAAGCACAAAGGACCTAAAAGTAGGCACTACTTTTAATTTTTTATGGGAAACGCAGATGATGTCTAATCTAAAACCAATGAAAAGTTTGCTAAATAAAAACTGAAATAAATTATGCAAATTTATTGCCTTATTGTGTGAATATGTGGCTAGAAGCTCAAAGTACCTAAAAGTAGGCAATACTTTTACTTTTATTTCGGAAATGCAGAAGATACCTAATCAAAACCCATAAAAAGTTTGCTAAAGAAACACTAAAATAAATTATGCAAAATTAATTCCCTAATATTTGTATTATGTGGTCAATAGCCTAGACATAGGTCTTACTTCTTCTGCTTTTCTGGGAAATACAGAATACAGAAGACATCATACCAAAATCGCCGAAAAGTTTGGTTCTCTATTATATCATATTTTTTAGAGGACTTGCTGGTAATTTACAAATTCAAGTTTAAAAAAAGCTGAAAAAAAAATTATGCAAAATGTTTTCCTTACTTGGCAATATGTGGTCAATAGCCCGAACAACCTAAAATTTGCCAATACTTTTTGTTTTTTTTTATTGGAAATTCAGAAGACATTGTATCAAAACACCAGAAATGTGTGTCGGCCAGTCATTGAAATTATTTTGGAAACGTTTGTGCACCCTTTTGAACAAGAGCCCAAAAGTAGGAACACTTTTACAACCGATTTGCCTTATCAGTTTCCCGTTGCTGGAAGCTAGGTTTGAATTCATTATTAACATTAATTATCGAAATTAGTCCCTTATTTGGGTGATACGTGTTCAATGGCCCGAACAGCCTAAAAGTATGCAATACCTTTTGTTTTTTTGTGGAAAATTCAGAGCACATTATATCAACACACCAGAAGAACGAGTTGGTCTGTCGTGGCAATTATTTTGAAACTTATGTGACAATCTCTTGAACACCAGCCTAAAAGTAGGCTCCACTTTTTATAACGTAATTTTCTCAACAGTTTCCTGTTGCTGAAAGCTAGGTTGCGATTCTGTAATTTTATATAAAGAAAATAAAATATTTGTTCGCAGCAAAGCCTTAAAGTATGCACCATTATTTAAATGGATCTCAGCTTCGATATTATGTAGGAAAATTACATGAAGCAAATTTAAAGGTGGGTAAAAACTAACATGAATAATCAAAATGAGTCCCTTACTTTACTTAGATGTATTTAATAGCCTGAACAGCCCAAAAGTAGCCATTACTTTTTGTTTTTCTATGGGAAATTCACAAGACATTGTATAAAAACACCAGAATAACGTGTTGGTATGTGATGGCAATTATTTGGAAATTCAGGTGTACAATCTTTTCAACTGGAGCCTAAAAATATGCACCACTTTTTGAAACGAAATTTTTATCAGGTTCCTGTTGCTGGAAGGTAGGCCTAACTCCTTAATTTTTATGATTTATATCAAAAATTATGTAAATAGTTGGTTGCAATTGCGCCTAGAAGTAGGCACCACTACTCAAATGAACTTAAGTTTGATAATTAAGTAGGGAAATTAAAAATAGTAAAATTGAAGATGAATAAAAACTAAAATTACTATCGAAATTAGTCTCTGGATTTGTAATACGTGGTCAATAGCACAAACAGCCTAAAATTAGGCAATAATTTTTCTTTTTTTTATGGGAAATTCAGAACCTACCGTATCAAACCAAGAGAAAAAAGTATTTTTCAGTCTTGGCAATTATTTGAAAAACTCATGCATACAATATTTTGAACTGTACCCAGAAGTAGGCACCACTTTTTGAAACGATACTTTTTCAGTTTCCTGTTGCTGGAAGCTAGACCACAGTTCTTAAATTTTTGTGATTTTTATCAAGAATATATACAAAAGGTATGTTGCGTTTGCTCCTAAAAGTAGGCACCACTATTCAAATGAATCTCAGTTTGGATATTAAGTAGTGAAATTAAAAATAATGAAATATGAATAAATACTAAAATAAATTATTCAAATTAGACCCTTTTTGGGTAATAGCACGAACCGCCTAAAAGTAGGCAATAGTTTTTCTTTCTTGAACTCTTAGAAGACATTTTTCAAAACACCCGAAAAATGAGCTTGTCTCATTTTGAAAACTTCTGTGCACAATCTTTTGAACAGGCGCCTAAAGGCTCGCTCCACTTTTAGAAAAGAATTTTTCTGGAAGCTAGGTTAAAATTCCGATTTATATCAAGAAATTTTAAATATATTTGGACGCAATTAAGCCTAAAAGTAGGTCTAACCTTTCGAATGGAAATAATTTTGGGTATTACAAATAAAAAAATAATGATGAAAATATAAGTAAAAGTCCCGGGAGCAAGGACGTCCATTAATACATACGATGCTTACATTTTATTGTCCTTTTATTAAATGAAGCATTATACTGTATAACTCTTCTCGACATTAGGATAATACATTATAGTCTTAAGGCTTCCTTTATTTTGTTTTAATTGTCATCTTATTGATAAAAAAGACTCAATAAAATATAACTTAACTTTTCTCTTATTTCGATAATATGTGGTGTGTAGCACCAACAGCTTAGAAGTAGGCATGTTTTTTTCACAGTTTCGAAAAAAAATTTGGTTCTCTGTTATGAATTTTTTGGGAAATTGATGGGTAAAATGTTTTAAAACGGAACCTAGAAGTATGCACTGGTTTTTGGAACAATGTTTTTATTAGTTCTCTGTCACTGGAATCCTAGTTACAATACTTAAATTTTTATTTTGAGCACTTAAAAATTATTATTTTTCATCTAAAAGTAGGCACCACTTTTTTTTTTTTTGAAACAACCCAAAAGTATGCATGGTTTTTTTCATTTTTATAGATTAATACAGAAGATATCTTATAAAAGCGTCTGAAAATTTATTAAATATTTTTTATTAAAATTTATTAAAATTTTTTATTAAAAAAATTAAAATTAAAATTTTTTAATGGAACCCAGAAGTATGCTGCTGGCTTTTTTCCTTTTTCTTGTGGGAAATACCGGAGATATCTTAAACAGTTTCGCAAACTTTTGTTTCTCTGTTATGACATTTATTTTTTCGAAAATTGATAGGTAAAATGTTTCAAAACCAAACCTAAAAGTATGCACCGCTTTTTGAAAATATGTTTCTATTAGTTCTCTGTCACTCGAATCATATTTACAATTATTTAAAATATTTACTTAAAATTTTTAAAAAACCACATTTTTGCCAAAAAGTAGGCTCATTTTTTCGTATGAAACTATGTGTGGTTATTACATAAGAAAATCAATAAAGTGAGGACAAACAGGACTTTATATTACACATGATTTTTACATTATATGAAAGCCAGCCATTAGAATCAATAATAGATTTTATATATTTAATATCAACCTAAAAGTATGCAACAGATTTTAATATTTGTTACTACAATGATTCCACCGAACAAGTTTGTCCTCCAAAACGCATGAGAACCCTGTGATTCGTTATTACCTTTCCTTGGATTGTAGCTCTTAATTTTAAAAGCTTTTACCCCTTTCTCTCTCTCCGCCTTTTACTCTCCCTCACTCTCTCTCCATTAACCATCCATCTTTCCATTGTTTTTATTTTTATGAATTTTCTAAATGTCGTGATTTTAATGCGGCTGTTTGAAAAAGAAAGTAATCAGTGTCGTGTCAGTGGTGGTGGTGGTGTTGCAATCTAAAGATGGTACACCGGATGGGAGCTGAAGTCAAAGCAGATTCTTCTTCTTCTCCCATGCAGCTGCTGGTTGTCTTATTTCTTTGTTCAACACAAATTCAAGTAATAAATTTTCCAAAAGGGATTTCAAGGCATTAACTGAGATTTCAATGCAACTTTTTGGGAAACACTTGACAATTTCCAAAAATAAAAAAACGAAACGACAAAAAATGGCAACTGAGATTTAGCAAAAAGTTTTGAAAGTAAGCATTTAGCACCTTTAAAGGCATTTGGGAAAAGTTTTTTTGGGGGAGAAAGAGAACCAAAGATTGAGATTTGTATTGAATTTTATGTGGGATGCCATCAATGGCTTTACAAAACTTAAGGAAATATAAACATCAGGCTTTAATGAGGCCCTTGGAAGAAGGAAAATTATTTCCAATTTCCCAGAAAAGTAAATTTCTAACTCTTTTTACAACGCCTGATTTCCTTTGCCATTTTTCTCATTTAAAATTAACTCCTAAGTTTTTTTTTTCTGTTTTTGCATAGAAAATGCTCTTTGATGTCTAGCATTGCCTTGATGTTGTAGCTTTGGTAACACCCTTTTTGGGAACACGCCCTCCCCCATCTAAGCAGTAATTTTGTATTGGCATAAAAAAAAAACTTTTTCAATAAAACCCTTTTTCAGTGCCTTAGAATAATGAGATGAGGCTGTGTTGGCATTTCAATTCAAATAAAATCCCAAAACTTTTTCCAAACTCCCACAAAAATATATTTTTATAGGCAAATGTGGCTTTAATTCTCAACACTTTATTCATAGAAAGAATAGAAAGAACTTAAAACGAGATCCTTAAAGGGATGCGGGTAAAGTTTCTCACAGACGTCTACCATAGGGTGAAGGAGGCAAGTAAGTGGCCGCGGGAGAGTGATGACTACCAGTGGAGGCATAGTGACCACCGGCTGGATAACCACCAACACCACCAGCGGCATAATTGGAATGAGATCCACCAGCATTGCCACGTTGATGTAAATGCAATGTCCTGCAAAGAGAGAGAGAAAGAGAGATTGTCATAAAATTTTTAAAAATTCCTCTCTCTTCAAAAACTTACTCTTGAATTTCCTTGGGAATTGGTGGTGGTGTGGGCAAATGATCACCTTCGGCATGGAAACCATTGCTATCGGCCTTATAATTCACGGAATAGACCTTGCCATCATCCCCAGTATAGGAGTAGGAGCCTTCAACATTCAGAGAGCCCGAGGGCCAACCACCTTGAAGTTCACCTCTTTCATTGTGTTTAATGCCATTGCCCGTTTCGTAACTGAAAAGAGAGAAAAAAAATATTTTTTATTGAGGGGAATTGTACTTTCACAGAGAGAGAGAGACCTGTAAAGAACTCAAATGGACGATGGAGAGTACTTTTGTATTGCTTGAAATATTCGGATTTGCGAAATTTGAAGACAATCGGACTTTTATTTTAAAAAAAAGTGAAGACTTATAATTATTAAAAAATTTTGACTCTTTGCGAGGAAGGTACTTGTTGGAGTGGGTCGATATTATCCATTTTCCCACCTCACCTAGCTCTCATAAAAATATTAGGATTTGAAGAGTTTGCACTAAATTTGCATGATCCTTCCTTGTTCTATGAGGTAGATTACTTTCTGTGAAAATTTAGATTTTTTGTGAGAGAGTTACCAGAAGGAGTAACCAGGAAAGGATCGGTCCAATATTGCCAATCTCCAAATTCGATCTAAGTTTGATAATAATTTTAGGATGTACCAAGTTTGTACCAAATCGGATATTCTCTTCAAGAGTTCTTGTTAACACCTTTCAATCAGACAGTCAGAGGGAGGGAGAGAAAGTCACCCCTAGACCGACTCCACATGTCCTTAAACGGCCCTCTGAGGCTGAGGGTGTAAAAATTTGGATTTTTTTTTTAAGAATATTTTTCAAGGACCTTTAGCCAAATAAACGTGGTTTTTTAAAGAATATTTTTCAAGGACCTTTAGCCAAATAAACGTGGATTTTTTAAAGAATATTTTTCAAGGACCTTTAGCCAAATAAACGTGGATTTTTTAAAGAATTTTTTTCAAGGACCTTTAGCCAAATAAACGTGGATTTTTTAAAGAATATTTTTCAATGACCTTTAGCCAAACAAACGTGGATTTTTAAAGAATATTTTCAAGGACCTTTACCCAAATAAACGTGGATATTTTAAAGAATATTTTTCAAAGACCTTTTGCCAAAAAAAAACGTGGTTTTTTAAAGAATATTTTTCAAGGACCTTTAGCCTAATAAACGTGGATTTTTTAAAAAATATTTTTCAAGGACCTTTAGAAAAATAAACGTGGATTTTTTAAAGGAAAAAGGATTGTTTTAATTTTTTTTTTTGGATTTTTGAAGGAAATAGAAAAAGACTCGTTTTTATCACATTTTTCGAAGGGAAAAATTATGTGTTTGAAAAAACCTTTTCTGATGGAAAAAATGAGAAAATTTTTTCTGAGAATAGATTCGTGGTTTTTTTAAGAATTTCTCGATTTTTTAAGAATTAATTAATGATTTATTTAATAATTAATCATTTTTTTATTTTTTTTTTTTTCATTTTCTTTTTTCTAAAAAAAAACCGTGAATTTGTTAAGGAAATTTAAGAAAGATTTTGGTATTCAAGAATTTTTTTTCCTGGACACCTCTAAGGCTTTATATCTGGTCTTGATTGGATTTTCCTATTTCTTGTCAATATTCATATCAAGTGTGACATTTTCAATTTTTTCTGGGTATAGATTTGTATAGAAATGTTCATTTAAATGAATTTTTTTCGGGTTTGAAAATGGCTTCTCTCTCTGATTTCCACTTGTCCTGGAGTTTGGGACTCTTATTTTTTTTATTTCAAGCTAGGTGTTGAAAACGCGATTTTTTTCGAGCAGAGATATTTCTGAATCTGTCGAAGATAACGTGAATTTAGAAAAAAAATTCAAAATAAGTTATTAAAAAAAGGATTGTTTTAATTTTTTTGGGTTCTTGACTGAAAAAATGTTTCTGATGGAAAAAATGAGAAAATTTTTTCCGAAAATAATTTGTGGATTTTTTAAGAATTTGTCGAATTTTTAAGAATTAAAAAATGAATTTTTTTATTTTTTTTTTCAGTTAAAAAACCGTGAATTTGTCCTGGAGTTTGGGACTCTTATTTTATTTTTGTTTCAAGCTAGGTATTGAAAAGGCGATTTTTTCGAGCAGAGATTTTTTCTGTATTTCTGAAAATCTGAATCTGTCGAAGATAACGCGAATTTAGAAAAAATTTCAAAATAAGTTATTAAAAAAAAAATTGTTTTAATTTTTTTGGGATCTTGAAAAAAAAAAATTGTTTCTGATGGAAAAAATGAGAAAATTTTTTCCAAGAATAATTTGTGGATTTTTTAAGAATTTGTCGAATTTTTAAGAATTAAAACATGATTTTTTTTATTTTTTTCTGTAAAAAAACCGTGAATTTGTTAATGAAATTTGAGAAAGATTTTGGTATTCAGGGACTTTTTTTCCTGGACATCTCGAAGACTTTATATCTGATCTGGATTGGATTTTCCGATTTCTTGTCAATATTCATAGCAAGTGTGGGTTCTTCAACGAAAACATGTTTCTGATAGAAAAAATGAGAAAATTTTTTCCGAGAATAGATTTGCGGATTTTTTAAGAATTTGTCGAATTTTTAAGAATTAAAAAATGATTTTTTTATTTTTTTTTTATCTGAAAAAACCGTGAATTTGTTAAGGAAATTTGAGAAAGATTTTGGACATTTTTCCTAGACACCTAGAAGATTTTATATCCGGTCTTGATAGGATTTTTTTCCTATTTTCTTTATCAATAATTATATCAAATGTGAAATTTTCAATTTTTTTCTGGGAAAAAATTTGTATAGAGAAATATTCATTTAAATGAATTTTTTTTCTCGAGAGGCTATAAAAATGGCTTCTCTTTCTGATTCCCACTTGTCCTGGAGTTTTGGACTCTTGTTTTTTGTTTAAAGCTAGGTATTGAAAACACGATTTTTTTCGAGCAGAGATTTTTCTGTGTTTCTGAAAATCTGAATCTGTCGAAGATAAGGCTAATTTAGAAAAAAAAAATTCAATATAAGTTATTAAAAAAAGGATTGTTTTAATTTTTTTTTTGGGTTCTTGAACGAAAAAATTTTTCTAATGGAAAAAATGAGAAAATTTTTTCCGTTGTCGAATTTTTAAGAATTAAAAAATGATTTTTTTTTCTTTTTTTTCTGAAAAAAAAAACCGTGAGTTTTTGAAGGTAATTTGAGAAAGATTTTGGTATTCCGGGTCTTTTTTTCCTGGACACCTCGAAGACTTTATATCTGGTCTTGATTGGTCCTGGAGTTTGGGACTCTTATTTTTTTATCATTTTTTTTTTAATTTGAAGGTAGATTTGACTTTTTTAGAATTTCCTTTTTTCAAATTCGGGTCCCTTGAATAATTTTTTGTTTTCACTTCACTTACCCGAAATTATAATTTCCATTGCCATCATTGGTGTAGTCATTGCGCAAAATGGGAATTTGGGCGGCAGCACTATTGTGGCCATATTGGGCGCTATGATGAGCGGCAGCGGGTGATGAAATGGCAGCGGCATGATGCAATGGACGGCTGGGTGCAACACTGTTCACGCCATGATAACGAGGATATTGGCTAGAGCCGGCAGCGCCAACTGGAGCATAGCTGGGTGGTAGATAACTGGCCGATGGACGGCCAGCTGAGGCATAGGCCACACTCAGCAAGATGCAGGACACAGAAAGGAACTGGAATGGAACGGAAATTTGCTGATTTCCATTTTTTTTTCGATTTCAAAATTCTAATATCCTTACAATTCTCATGATGTTCTAGGTGGCGGTTTGTACTTGTTGTTTGTATGGTTAATACTGAGCTACTAATAACTTAACACCGAGGGTAAGCCAATTTTATAGCCACTCTTCATAAATCAAAAACAATTCTTGCGGTTTTTTTTTGTTGCCTTCTTTGGTTTTTTTGTTGTTGTTGTTCCACTCAACCATCATCATCATCGGCGGCGATCATTATTATCTTCATCTCCCTGCATCTTCATTATTAGCATTCATCAGTTATGCCCGTCAGTCAGGTATTCAAATCGCTGAGTTTAAAAATAGTTACCATAAATGAAAACTTCATCAAGTCAAGCCCAAAAAACCTCTAGAGTTTGGAGTACTTAGTTTTGGAGCAGATTTGTGCTAGTGTTGTTGTTTCTTTTTATTTTTTACTCTTTGTTATGGCGTTTCGTACGCTCATTCATTATTAACTTAATTATTTGTTCAGCTACACATCTACGCCCAAGAAACGGTTCTTTGCCATATCTCGGCTATTGATGGTTGGCGTTTGTGTTTTTTTGCGGGTTATGGCAAGGCACTACTCCCTAGATGGTATAGTTAATAAAAAATATAACAAAAGCTAGTGGGTTGTTGTTGTTATTATTGGAAATAAATTTAATATTATTTTCTTGTCTTTTATTTTTTTTCGGTTTTTTTTGGCATCGAAAATGCATTTCGTTAATGAAACATCAATTCTTTTATTTTCTTTGGGACTGGGCTATGCTCATTTGACACGGTCTTCATTTGTGTCAATCAATTATGGATTTTTTGTTGTTGTTGTACTTATTGTCTAATTTTTTTCTATTTTAATTATTGTACTTTTTGTTGTTGTTCTTGTTATTTCCATCCCATCGCCCCCCAGCAACAATAGAAAACACCCTCATAAAAATGAGTATTGATTCTTTTCATATTTTTTGTTGTCTTCCTTTTTTTTTGCATCAATTAATTATTTCAATTTTGTGGTGGTGGCGGTGGAGGTACTGGTGCCTTGAAAGCCAAGAATGTTTTCGCTTTAATCGCAAAAATGTTTCGAATTAATGATACGCTTCTAATTTGGCCAATTGAAAGTGAATGAATATGAATCATATTTTTTTTGAAAAAAAAAATAAAAGAAAAAACAAAAATATTTATAAAAAATATTAATAATAAAACAATAATAATTATTTTTTTTTTGGCAATCAATAATTATTCAAAAGTGAATGGGAATTTTTTGGTAAGGTGTATCCTATTATTAGGTCATTCTACCCATATTAACATGGAAGAGGGATGGAGCGGTTTATTTTAGAAATTAGAGATGTGTAGTATCTTAGCAAAGCTAAACTGTTTAATGATCTGATTAAAAGGTTAAAATATAAAAATTAATTACTAGTGCGAAGACAGCAAGTAGTTATGGGTCTTAAGGAAATTACACTAGATATATGCCAAAATTTGTTTGGCCGCCTAAAAGTATGCTCAAAAATATGTATATTTTTCAGGCAATTATTATCTACAGCATAAATAAAGGACTCTTCAAATATCCCTTGAAATAAAATATTCGTTACCTAAAGAGTTCTTTATTTATGCTGTAGATAATAATTGGCTGAAAAAATATACATATTTTTGAGCATACTTTTGGGCGGAAAAAATTTTATGAAAATATATGTAAATTATATTTGATGTCCGACAGAAATTTGATATTGTTTTGTAATGAAATTCGAAAAAAAAAGGACAAGTATAAAAGCAGCTAAGTTCGGCCGGTCCGATCTTTTAATACGATCCCCCATTTGGAAAAAAAAATTGAAAAATTAAAAAAAATCCGTCGGGAAATACCGCTTATGTGAAACAGTAATATGGAAGCTATACTAGGGCGTGGGCCTGCATAAGTAATTTTCTTCCATAGCCTGTTGTACCTATTCCGAACTTCAAATACGAAATTTGAAGCAATTCCGGTAAATAATGTCGCTAATATCATTAAAATACCGAAAAAAAACTGAGGTACCGTTATATGGGGGCTATACGAAGACGTGGACCCGCATACGTAATTTTTTGTCATGGGTTATAGTTCCCATTAGGAACTTCAAATACAAAATTTGAAGCAATTCCGGCGAATAAGCTTGTTAATATCATCAAAATGCCAAAAAACGGAGGTACATATGTGGGGGGCTGTACGAAGACGTAGGCCTGCATACGTAATTTTTTTCATGGGGTATAGTTCCTATTGAGAACTTCGAAAACGAGATTTGAAACAATTTTGTTGAATAATGTCTATATAATCATCTAAATACCGAACAAAGGGTGGTACCGTTATATGGGGGCTATACGAAGACCTGGACCTTCATCGACAATTTTCTGTCATAGACTAATTTTCCCATTAGGAACTTCAAATTCAAAATTTGAAGCAATTCCGGCGAATAAGCTTGCTAATATCATCAAAATGCCAAAAAAGGGAGGTACATATGTAGGGGGGGCTATACGAAGACGTGGACCTACTCGATCTTTGGCACGAATTATGACTTTCAAACGGCCAATGAAACCTTCACACGCTGCCCGAACGTTGCTCTGCGTTATTTTTGCCTATTCCCAGCGAAGCGCTTGCTTGAGGTAATCGACACCTTTTTCATATTTTTTAGTGCCAACCTTGCTTTCCAAAATACTCCAGACACAATAGTCCAACGGATTGTTATCCGAAATTTTTGGTGGTCATTGTGCGCTGGAAATGAAGCGAGGAACCTCATTATGTAACCATTCTTGGGTAGCGCGTGCTGCGTGTGATGGTGCTGAGTCCTGTTTGGAATGTCCAAGGTCTGCGGCCAAAATGTTTGCGTGCTCAAGGTTTTAATACTCCCTCCAGAACATTTTTGCAATAATATTCGGCATTTATTCTGATGCCACGGTCGATTAATAGGAGCGAAGTGCGACCATCGGCTGTTATGGCGGCCCACACCATCACCATGGCCAGCACTTGAGTTCTGGTGGCCTACTGAAGGTGCACATTTTCAGCTGACCTCTTTGGCAAGTAAAACCGATCATTTTCTTTGTTTACAAACTGCTGGACAACGAATGTTTTCTCATCGGAGAAAACCAAATTCGGCAATTCACCATTTTGGGTCAAGCGAAGCAACTCTTTAGCTCTCTTGAGTCTATTTTCTTTCTGTTGCGGTGTAAGTTCTTGCACTTTTTGGAATTTTGAATGGCTTTAACCCGAGATCATTTTTCAATATTTGCCGAATGAAATATTGCGATATGATTAGCTCACGAGCCATTTTTCGACCACTGCGACGCGGGTTTCGATCAAGTCGCTTCTTTACTTTTCGAACCATTTCTTCTGATGTTGCTGTTTTCTTCCGTCCACTTCTTTGACGTCGGGCTACGCTATCAGTATCACGGTAACGAGCAATGGTACGAGACACAAAAGATTAATTCACATTAAAATGCTGGATTGCTCTAACGATAGCCACTTGTTGTTTTCCAGCCAAATATAAAGAAATCACACTATCACGCTTGGATCCCATCACGTATAACTTTTTTTCTGGAAAATTCTCACCTAAATGCTTTTGTACGCTTGTAAACCATATAATGAGCTGTCACTGGAATAATTTGAACAGCTGCCGGACTAGTGGCTTAGGAATGCCAGCAGTCTGAAGTTGGTTGCAGTTTTTTCATCTCTCCCTGTATATATTCAAAGAACTCCATCGTTATGTAAGAAAATCAAAATTTCTGGCAGAAGCTTTTTTCCCTTTAAGTAATGGAGGCAAGTAGCAAAACTAATAGCTAGATTTTTTTTGCGTTAGACAAGCACTCGTGAAATTTTCTGAAAATTCTGTAATAATATTAAAAATTATGATTTTTTTCAAACTTATTGGCTGTATAGATAACTAAATTTCGGATCATATGTCTTTGACTTACTTGTAGATATCATATAGCAAAAACTCTTCTAGAAAATCTCAAAAAGAAAAAAAAAGGTTATAAATTTGTGGTATTTTACCTGAAATCAGTGGCATTGTTATACCAGTTTGAAGGACGCCCTCGATATTTGCATAATTTTGGGTATAAAATGGTATTTTTACGACGCAGTTTCCTGAAATTTCTACAAAATACATCTGAAGAGTTTCACTCTCAGCTCGAAAATGCAAAAAAGGCAATAGAAATTATTTCCAGAAGGATATGAATTCTTTGGGGATTTCAATGCACTTATCATAGTCTTTTTACAGTATCGATGTTAAATATGAACTATAGATGGCGTCCATCACAACACATGGCATATATATTGTATATAGAGGATCTCGGAGGCATCTTGTTGTATAAAGAAGACCTTTAGAGACGATTTTCCATAGTTTGCCACGGAGGAGATCTTTTATTTTATATAGTACACCTCAAAGTTCTTCAATTACAGGCATATGATCTCAGACGCCATCTGTTTCTTAAGGAAGGGCCTACGAGCTTTCAGTTTTTGCAATGCGACACCGTTTCAATATATATGAAATTTCTCTGAAGTCTTAATATCCATATATAATTCACATCCCACATCCACATCCCAAGTGCACTCATCTTTTCAACGAAAAACCCGTCAAAGCAGACTTCTTCAGCAGAGGTCTCCTAGAGAGTAAAATAATCATATTTCACATTCTCTAAAACCTCGATATGATGCCATCAACTAGAATATCAAGTGTGTGTCATATTACTGTCAATCTAATTGACTAACTGATTAACAATTAGTCATTTTGGCCGCTGACAGATGTTCGGCGAGATCTATTAATAAATGAAAGAAAAACAAAAAATAATAATAAAGATTCGGAAAAAAAAAACTTTTAATTATGAATTATGATAAATTATTATAGCATAAAAGCGATGCCAATGGCATCATCACTTTGGGGTGTTTTTAAATCTGTTTAAGATAATTAATAAAAAAAATTTGAAAAATTAGTTTTAAATAAAGGAAATTAAATTAAAAAATTAATTGCAATAAATTTCTAATAATTAACCAGATTTAATAAATTTCAAGTATTAAAAGAAATTAGTATCGAAAGCAAACTATTGAAATTTTGAAAATAAATACTTAAATTTAAATTGACTAAATAATGATCAATAAAAACTTAAAAAATACTAGT